TATATAGGCACATCATGACCATATATAGGCACATCATGACTATATATGGGCACATCATGACTATATATGGGCATACAACTGTTTTTGTCAATGAAAATTTGATAGTGTGGACAGAGCTTAAAATCTGGCTGTTGTACATGCATCGTATGATGCATAGTTCTCATATGAAGCAGACTTCTTAATCCTAAAAACTACTAAAAATGCCTTTAATGTATGTTGAGCTTCCATGGGCCTACATCAGTTATGAAAACTGTGGCTATGTTCTCACACAGCTGCTAACCGTTAGCTGCTGTGCGTCCATACAAGAAAATCCCAATCCGGATACCAACAATATGGTGATCGAATCACTAGCAAATAAAAAACTGGAAATTGTAAGCACGTACGTGTGATTGGTTGATGATAAAAACGCACTCAACTTGCTAAATGATAGCGCTTGCCAACCGTTAGTGCTAACCGATCAGGCGTTCTCACGCAGGTGCTAACGGTTAGCCCTAACGATTAGCTCCCGATCTGGATACTAGTGCTCTCTTAAGAACCAGGCTTATGACTTTTATATGGGCATACAACTGTTTTTGTCAATGAAAATTTGATAGAGTGGACAGAGCTTAAAATCTGGCTGTTGTACATGCATTGTATGATGCACAGTTCAAGTATGAAGCAGACTTCTTGATCCTAAAAACTACTAAAAATGCCTTTAATGTATGTTAAGCTTCTTCGAATTAATAACACATATATTCTTTGATTTTGAATTGCAGGACATCAGTACACGGGACTGAACCCTGGGGAGACTGGGCCGAATCACCAGCCCGTTTCTCCCACGAACATGTTGACTTCCAATTACCATGAAGAGGGAACAGTTACGGAGGTGCCAAGCACAAACAATGCCAGTGCTGATGTCGGACCTCCACCATCAAGAGGATCTCAACCAAGTATACGCAGTCATCCATCTACCGCTAGGAGCCAGATGTCACGGAGATCAGTCATGATGTCTACTGGTTCTTGATGATGTCCAACATTGCTTGTTGATCTTGATGATGAACTGGTTCTTTATGATTCTGATTCTTAAAGGTGTCTACTTGTTCTTCATGACGACAGCTGGCTTTTAAAGATGTCAACTTGTTCTTCATGTTATCTACTGTATGTCTTGGTTGTTGGCAAATGTCAACTATTTCTTGATATCTGCTGGTTCTTGATAATCTCTATTAGTTAATAATGAAGTCAGCTTGCTGGTTCTTAGTTGTTTACTGGTCCTAAATCCTTATAAATTTATTTCTCTAAATCCAATTCAACCATTTTTATTTTCTAGAATCAAGAGTTATTTTAATGATGTGTTGAATGATTATCATTCATGTTTTAATATAAATGTTTTATACTTATATTTTTAAAAATCAGATGGTATTTAAATTTTTTTTTAAAGTTAGTTATTAGAATTCATGAGATTTTATGTTGATTTTGCAAATGTATTTATATTATGTATATATTCTAATGAGCTTATATATGTTGAGTCTATGCAAAATTTAATTGAAGTATAGTATATTATTTAGCACAAAACATAACAATAGCACCATAATTAGTCTATCTTTTCATTTATTTAAAAAGATTAAACCTTTACCAGGCCAACCAGTTAGACATTACAAATCATCCTATGACCAGGGTTACTGAAGTCATTTAAAAGTCAATGGAAATGTTATAAAGACATTTTAATAAATTGACTAATTTACATAATAGTTCATTTAAATATTACCGTTGAGCTAATTACCTTGAAATGGAATAGATATTATGCTGGCCACCTTGGAATATAGTTTTAATGAATATGATTCTTAAATGTAAATTTTGGCATCTTTATTAAAACATAGTAAAAATTTAGATTGTTTTTTGTAATTTATTGTCATAACCAAAATACAAATATTCAAATACTGTAATCTTATTCAAATATTGAATTTTATTGTAAACTCTGGCAGTATATCAATAATGTACGCATGTGCTGCAAAGTGCAGTTGTATATTAAACATTCCTTAATTAAACCCTATTTTATTTCCCCATTCACATACCATGTGAGCTTGAGGTATTAAGTGTGCGTGGTTCTTAGTCTACTCATTAGACAAATCTATTAGCCGAGTGGTTCAGGCAGGGGTACTGCAACCTATATCCAGGTTTGAGCTGCTGGCTTTCCCATTGTTCTAGTGGTATAACATGTCTTCCCATATAAAGACTATGAATGATAGCCTTTGTCTATACAAAATTGGCTTCTGTGCACCTTAAAGAACCGGTGCATTATTCAAGACAGATAGGGGATAACCCGGTGTACTGGTCCAGACAGCCCTATGGTGGACAGACGTAAAAATGCCAGCATTGGTTTACAGAGTAGCTGCACAGATATGAAGTGATCCTTAGGGCGGAGGACGTTATTGAGTGAGATACTAGTCCACGCATCGAGCGCCAAGAGCGTCAGCATAGCAACAAATAGTCACTACTGTATATGATTTTATATTTTATATGTATATATTTTATATTTATTTAACATAAATCAACCAGACAGGTAAATTAGTAGATGAAGCTATGAATCTAATAAACCAAGTCATTTGAGTTGTTTTTGATGCAAACATTTTGGGTCACAGGATTTGAACCCAAGTACCATTAAAGTACACTTATAATTTATGATCTAAAAAACATGTTCATCAATTAGCTTATATATATATACTTTTTTTCACTACCATAAGTTAACAAATGCCACAATGCCCAAAGGTATATTTAAATTAGTTAATTATATTAATAGAGTACATAATATTTCAAGCTCTAAAAAATATAATTGCATAAGCCATAGTGTACAGATGTATCTTATACAGGTTTTGGTGACACATCAATAAACAATCCCACATCACTTCACCACTTTGTAATAACTTAAGGTACAGTATCATGTCATAAAACAGAATTTTGATACAATTTATAAAACTACTGTACTTATTTAAAGATACACCATCTGTAAAATACTTTGAAAAGCTTAGTAGGCTAAATTATTAGCTTTCAATCGAAAATTTTGATAAAATACTTTACTTGCAAATTAACAGTCATATAATATTAGGAGAAACATTTTTAAAGGGTAAAAAAAATGGTTTTCTTTAACTTAGCAAATGTTTTTGCCAAAAACCTCCAGGCAGAGAAAATAAAAATAACATTTTATTGATGAATGCAAACGGTGTAGTAATAGGATACTTAAATGCTTTAAATTTATATAATTAAGAAGAAATATACATATCTCATTTTTGGAGGTTTCAAGTTTCCATTTTTTCCCCTTCTAATTGGCCAAAAAAATAAAATTATATTTTTATTCAGAATCATTGTTGGCAAGCAGCGGGTTTGTTAAACAAGGTATAAAAAATGTCTTGCCTTACAGTGTCTTATTTTTTTGCAAACACTTAGTTGGTTGGAAATCAAAAAAGTTAAGATATCCCTAAGCAAATATCTTAAGATGATTTATCAAACCATCTTAGCTTAAAAATCGTCTTAGATGATGCATGCATACAATCAACTTTTTAATTGTAAGCAATTTTTAAGCTAAGCAATATTGATAAATCTGACTTAAGCAAAAAAATGGATTTAAGACAAATTTAAGCTGATTTCTAGTTATGATAAAACTGGCCACTTTATTTGATTTGATTTTTTTTAACAGGAAGTGTATAACTTATTTAATCATTTCAAATAGGTAATTCAATGTTTTTAAATTGATGTTTCAAGGTTTTTTCAGATGTTTTTTTAACTTATTAAAAATCTGTGTTTTAGTTCTGATTTTGTTATAGGCTTTTAATGTTCTACAGTTTAAAGACTAATCTGTTAAGACCTGCATTGTAAAGAATGTACCAATTCAGCATATAGTTCAATACTGTATACATTGTAGAAAGACACCAGAATGCAGTAAGACTGCTTAATAATAATAATCAATATTTATATAGCACCTAATATTAATAACACCTAGGCGCCAAACAAAAACATAATAAACAAAAATAAAACATATCATGGCATTGCTTAGAGTACAGTAGTACTGTAGTTACTTTTAACATTTCATGCAAGTTCTCAATAAATCCAATATTCATACTCAATTACATCAATTTCTAATTCTAAAGAAAAACAAATGGAATGGATGAGCTAGTCAGAGGATGACATGTCAACCTAACCATGGAGGACCTAACTAACAGGCTACTGGATGTGCTAACTGGACTGACTAGATGAGGTAATCGGACTGACCTGAGACTATAATTAGACTGACCAGATGAACAAGTGGTACTGACTGGATAAACTGGTCTGATTGACAAAATGAACTAGTCAGACTGCTCTGTTAACTATTTTGAGTGACTGGATGTGAGTGTTAGTCAGACTGACTAGATTAACTAGTGGTACAGACTGGATAAATTGGTCTTACTGACCAGATGAACTACGGTAGTCAGACTGCTCTGTTTATATCTTGACTTACTGGATGTGTTAGTGGGAATGATTAGATTAACTAGTGGTACAGACTGTATAAACTAGTCTGACTGACCAGATGAACAAGTCAACTGCTCTCATAAATAATTGACTGGATATTTAACTAGTTGGGGCTGACCAAATGAAATTGTCAGATTGAGAAGATAAACTTGTCAAACTGAAGAAATGAACAAGTCGGAATAACTAAATGAACTAATCAAACTGACTTGAACTAGTCGGATGAGTGGATAACTTCACCTAACTGGATGACCTATTCAGATACCTCCATGATCAGACTGATTAACTGAACTAGTCTTACTCTTTGATTATAAGATTTTAAAATATTGCAGAAGACCAATAGAATACAATTAAAAATCAAATGTTATTCTCAAGAGGAAACAAATAAATTTAATAATGAACCAAAACAAAAATGGCCAATTGCATTGATTACCATTTCATTAGCAATTCCAAAAGGGTTTAGAAAAACACTACAGTGACTGTTATATCATCACGATAAGATCGTGAAATTTCCTTCGGTAATGTCAAAGAGGTAGAAAGTTTATCATGCTTAAATTTGTTTCCACTTCCACACAGAGCATAGCGAATAAGATGTGTGGCTACATTGTCATCCACAGGTATCAACGTCTCCTTGTGTTGTTTTAATCGCGTCTGAATTTGTAGAAGTGAGAGGCCTTCGATGTCATCCATTTTCTGTGGCTGTAAAAAATCTCCAACAAGTTTAACACACTTTTCGGGGCTAATCATTTCCCAGAGTCCATCAGATGCCAGAATTAAGAATCTATCTGATTTGGTAATTGTATGCATGCAAATATCAGGAGTAGCTATCAAATACGGTGGGGTCTTGTAATATTTCGGTATAACATGACCAGGATTGAGTTCGCTTATTATTGTTCGCTGTTCTGTTTCTGTCCATTTGAAGCGAACGTCACCAAAAGCTCTCAATGGCATCAGTTCTCCAAGAAGTCGTCCATTTTTCAGAACTGATATGTCCTCGCTTGCCGGATGGGCTGCTTTCAAACGTTTCACTTCCTTCTGATTCTGTTGGACGTGATCCTCAGACAGAGCTACTGCTGACCATGTACCGTTCTGTATCTGGCCAAGCACAGCTCTGCAATCACCAGTGTTTGCTACATATAGCTCAGAGTTGCGTACATATGCAACACAAGCGCAAGCACCAGAAATGGCTATGTGCAAAGCTTCTTCATTGAGATAGGAATCTGTTGTCTTTTTAGCCTCAGAAGAAAGATCCTTATCTAGACGATCAAATGCAATCTCGAGACAATCCTGGATGTCAATATCATCCATGTGGTCAACAGAAAGGTTGTCCAATAAGTACTTGTGAATGCTTTCCAAGAAGAGATCATGGGAATCTTGTGAGATGTAGTCATTTGGATGACGGTAGAAATCAACAAGACTTAATTTCTTATGCTTCTCCATCTCAATTTTCGTTTTTTTCAACTCCTGAAATGGCAGTATCTCCAGCGCAATATATTCAAAGAGTCTCTGACACACTGCCTGTGCACATGCTGGACCAGCGTGGCCATCAAATACACCAAATAGCAGACCAGGTGTGAGTTTACACCGAGCTTGGGCTCGTCTGTCCTCTATTGGGTGGTTTGCCTCTAACTGGTTACTGTGGAAACCTTTCACAACTTCATTAGCATCAAGAAACTGATGACTGGATTCATTCAATTGCAATATTTTTGTTGCTTGCTTGGGGGAAATTTTTGGTGGGGTATGGTAATATAATTTATTTATATTGTTGTATCCTGAATATTTTAAATGCTTATACAGCTTATTCTGCCCTGTATTATTATAGACCCTGTAACATCTGGCATGGAAGCAAAAAGGTGGTACATTTGCAACTTGTTGTAATGCTTTGGTTGCTGGTTTACATACAACATTATTTGAAGACAATTCAATGTTCTGCATCAGATTCCAGTGAGGCCTATTGACAACATGCCTCAATATAAGTTTGTAATATCTGTAAGCCATAACTTAATCGTGTACTACTAGCAGTAGTAGCTAGTAGGCCAACTGTATTTATAATAATAAAGTGCTCAGAATGTTGACTTTTATTTTTCATCACACACTCCTTCAAGAGATGCCACCTTTCTCCTTCCAATACTCCTTCCTTAACAAATGACTCATCCACTGTCTGACCTGGGCATTTTCACCTGTAAAAAAGAAAAACACCATTTAAAATTTTAAATATAATTGCTGTAGGGCCTGCTTACCTCTTTTTTGTAAGAAAAATGACGTTTAGTAAATAAAAGCAGTATGTACACAGAACCCCGGACATCCCGTTCACATCAAGCCCGGATTCTGGACAAAAAAAATCGTGAAAAATGGGTTCAGTGGTAAAGAATAGGACATCACATCAAATTCGTACGATTTCTAATCCGGACTCTTTAGCGTTTTTTTCTTGGACCAATCAGCAACAAGCTTGGTTGGTTCCGTGCGCGATTTGAACGCAGCGTTCAAAAAAACGTAGCAACTTACGATTTTTTGTCAGGGCTCCGGACCGGATCCGGGCTTGATGTGAACGTAGCTTAATTTAAGGCATGGCTAAGTTGAAACGACGGGTAGGCCTAGGCCCACTTCACGCCTAGGCCTAGGGCCTAGGCTAGGCCTAGCTAGATTTTGAAAAGACAGCCACGAGCTTACGCACGTAGGCCTACGTTGTAAAACTACACACAGGCCTGGGCCTACAGTAGATAAAACCCATAAGATAGTAATACTAACATGTGATACCATGATTTATCCGATTTATAATTGTTAATAAAAAGTCTCATCACTTTTCAGCCTGCAACTCGGACCACATTCATTCTCAAACTTTAGAAACATCCGACGAATTTTTAAAAAGGTTGGCAAGAACCTGTTTGTCGCCCTCTGTATCCCGTTTCATTTTTCGCATGTCGTCGCGCCCGGGATGATGTAACTGGCGCAGCTTGGCTCGTTTACACGAACATTGCCCATGCTTTATGCCTACTAAGCCCTGGGTTGGTTTCATTTGAAAGCCTGACTTTTGTAGGCACAAAAGTGATTGCAAGTACTGTACGTTTAAAGAGAAATCTGAAAATGTTGCCATCATTAACACGAATTGCAACCGAAGGATGTTGCAGACATATTCGTCCGGCTGGACAGCGTATTCAGCGTCAGTTTCAGTCTGCAAGTGGTAAACGATCAGCATCTGTTGATGGTAAACATTTGCTTTTTGTTTTGTTTGTTTGCTACTACAGCACTAGAGCCAGGCCTAGGTAATCTTGTTCCTCCATGGCTAGACCTTCATAATTCACCCGGGACAGACTCATTCAGAGGCCTAGTCCTAGGCCAGAGGGCCTGGCTTGTCCATGTGAAGGCTGCTATGCAGTGCAGATGCCATGCATGGCACTGAGTGAAGTCCCGATTAAAAATAATGTTGACGAATAAATAAAAATGTTAGTTTAGGCCCTCCTATATGGAACGCCGTTACTGCCTTTGGTGGCTCTTTTCCGTTCGGCGCATTTGCTATTCGCCCCTTTTAACATTACGTTCGGTGCTTTTACATTACCTTCGGTGCTTTTACATTACGTTCGGTGCTTTTTACATTACGTTCGGTGCTTTTTATATTACATTCGGTGCTTTTACATTACGTTCGGTGCTTTTACATTACGTTCGGTGCTTTTAACATTACGTTCGGTGCTTTTAACATTACGTTCGGTGCTTTTGCCTCACTTCGGCTCTTTTATCATTTGGTGCTTTTACCTTTCGGCCCTTTCATCATTACGTACGGTTCTTTTATCATTCGGTGCTTTCATGACCTTTGACATCGGGTCAAGTGGAAAAAAAATCAACGGCTGTGGGAATGAGCCTAGTGGAAAATCGCGCGTAACATATTCGACATGTGATTATCTTAGTGATAAAATAATAACAAAAACAAAACAAAAACACAAAACAAAAAAACAACAAAAACGAAAATGCCTCGATCAATCAAAACAGTATTAGAAGAAATTTCCCCCTCCAGTTGATTGATTTATTTTCCCCTCCCTTTACTGTCCGGTCGTTTTACAAATGCTCCTTCCGTGGTTATCTCGTATTTTGATATTGGAATTTATTTTTTTGTCTTTTTATTTTGTCTACCTTTTTAATATTATATAATATATATTTTATTCTTGCTTCTTAATTGATACGCAATTCAGCCTTTGTTGCTACTATGTATGTTTTTGATGTTGAATTTTTAATAAATATACCTCAAATAAATAATACAAACTTAATACAATATTAATAATAATATTAATACAAAGATACACATTTGCAAGGGGTCCCAAGTTGGAAAAAGTCAATTCGTGAAGCAAGGGTGGAGCCAGTGCAGTGGGAGGGTACAGGGAGAACACCC